CCTGAAGATCTTCAATTTTACTATATATTACTAAGTAAAATTTATAAAATCCGGAAATTTATTGTAGGGCAGTGTATTATCGGCTGAAATTATGAATCAATAAATTCTATTTTAAATAAAAACGTCTGTATTTCGAAATACGATTGCAAATATCTCGAAATGGGCTGATCCAAAATTAATGAATGTTTACTCATTGGATTCTTCTAATCGCGGGAAATCGAATTGTAGTTGTTTCATACGAATCGGTGCGATATTGACTGAGATCATACATCTTTTGTTTTTTCATTTTTTCTATATATAAAAAATCATGTGATATGACGTAATTTCGATCATTTCGACTTTTCATTTCGACTTTGACTTCCAAAGTCGAAACATCCCCATTTGCCTATTTAATTTCTGGATTTATTCTAGGTGTATAACGATCTTTTTGATGTATTCCAGCCCAGTCGAAGTCTATAAGCATTGCTTGTAATCTTTCATCAACCTTTTTTATCATTATATTTGAGTTGCGTAAGTCACCAAAAACAATATCATTGGTGTGTAAAGTATCAATAACTTCTTCAATGTTTTTCAAGACATCATTGTATTCCTCTCTTGTAATGTTTGCAGTCTGTAAAGTTTCACTATCAATATATTTCATCACAATCATGTACCATCCTCCTAAACTACTGTTGCTGACATAAAAAAGTTTTGGTGCAAAGTTTTTTTCAGCACAAAGATGGTGTACTTTAGCATTATATCTCTGAGTAAATTTGATAACAATTTCACATCCACCATCAGTTCTTCCCTTAAATAAAAGCTTTGTTTTGTCTTCTGTCAACCAATCTTCATATGTAAATATTACTGTTCTATCATCTGTGATGTATTCATGAGGATATGGATAAAATCGCTGGGGATTCCCAATATTTTCATGTTTAGATATATCAAGTCCTTGATAAAAATTTTTTAAATATTGGTCAGCATTGTATAATGCTTGAAAAAGACATGCAATACGGTGATAGCACTTTTCATCAAGGCTAGGTATCATTGGAATCAAATCAGTAAGAGGACTAATCACTGGATTAGAAGTATAAATGCCTCCCAGAACACAAATCCATGGACCAGCCACAGCAAGAAGTATGGATGGACAACTGCATACTGCTCGAATTTTATTACGCTATTATATTAGGTAAATAATAGTTAATGAAAAGGAAATGTATTATGGATATTGTCAATGTATAGGAAATATACTTGTTCTTGTGCCCAATACTTTGAATATGAAAGTGTTACTTGAATTGTTGGATCACTTCCTCCTTCACCAATTTCATTTTTAATTTCATGGATAATTCGTAATCCATTTTCACCACAAGCAGTTTCTATCAATAACATTCCATCATTGCTACTTCCATCTTCAATTTTTACCTCAAGAAGTTTATCAATAAATTTAGTAATATGATTAATAAATTCATTCTTACGTGAATCTTCATTCATGTGTTCATTAGCCATAGTTTCAATTAATTCATTTGTCCATGCACAAAGTCCATTTGATAAATCAAGCTTTTCATTATTGAAATCAGAGGAAAATTTTGAAAAAACTTCATGATACAAGAAAATTGGTGGACCAATACAATTGGATGGACGACCATTCAAAATAATCTCTTGTCTTTGTTGCTTAAAAAATTCATGACGTGCAGCAACTGATGAGGGAGGACCTATTCTACGAACTTTTGTTAAATTCTCTTCCTGATGTAAAGAGAGTATTGCTAAATAATATAAATTTGGTACTGAAAATGATTTTTTCATAGCTTATAGTAAATAACAAACTTACTTTCATTTTTACGTTTTAGTCTCATTCGCACACTTTCTGTAATATATAAGAAGAAAAGAATAAATATGTGTACAAGAAATGGATAAAATTATTAAACATACACAAATGATATTTACCTTTATTTTCCTCAATGCCTTCTGCAATGTTAAATAGAAAGTAGTAAATGGACAGAAACAAAGAGGTATAAATTAGACAAAGTTGTAAACAATATACTAAATAAATAAACGAAATGGAATGAATGAAAAATAATTTTTTGTATATTTTTTTTACGCAATTTGTTCATTACCTTCTCCTTTTTTATAATCAGCTAATAATGCGTCCTGAAACTTTTTCACCTGCTCCTTCCAATCTTCTTTATCTGCCTCTAACTTTTCTTTTTCTTTCTTTAACTCGGCTATCTTATCTTCCAACCTTTTCTCCTGTTTTTCATTTTTGTATTCTTCCTTCATCAACTTGTCTTCCAGTTCGTTCAACTTCTCTCCTTTGTACTTACCCACTTCCCACTCCTCCAACTTCTCCTCTGCCTTATCCAATCTATTCTTTGCATTGTTTAATTCTTGTCTAATTTCTTCGATCGTTATCATTTTCTTGAAATTAAAAGATTTAAAATTAATTTTTTAAAAAAAATTTTTTTTTTTATTGATTTAGATCGTAATTGTTACAATTAATTGTTTCTATAAATAGTTTCGACCAATACATAAGCAACCCCGTTAATCTGAAAACCCCGTTAAAATGAATAATTTTTTAAACACCAAAGCCAAACATATGTAAATTACCCCGTTAATATGAATGTCACTAATAAAACTTTATAAACCGTAAATCGAAGAAAATTTTTAAATTTTTTGAAGCCATTTATATGTAAAATTGCCCCGTTAATCTGAATTTTTTATAAACTGAAAATTAATTTTTATAAACCGAAGTAAAATAAAAATTGGGCCAATAATAATAATATACAAGTTATACAAATACATACGTACAAAATTACTATGGAAATTGCAAATAATAACCAGAATAGACTTTCCTCTAGTGCAAACAAGAGAAAAAAAAACTACTGAAAAAGAAGTTGGGGTATCAAAAAGAAAGCATACGTCTATTATAATTAATAAATGGATAAAGGAAGTTCTAAATCCTAAATTTTTAAATTTATTACCCCGTTTATCCGAATTAATTTATGACTCTAATACTAATAATAACTTCGGACTAGCAGTTCGACCCGGGCGATGCCCCGGGGTTCGCCAACGCAATGCATATAAGATGTTAAAAAAATATTAAAAAT